TGATAATTATTCATTATCTTTAATTATCTATTTAAATATATACTTTCAGGGACTTCCCTGGTGGTCCAGTGGTTAAGACTGTGCTTCCAAAGCAGGGGGCAAGAGTTCAAACCTTGGTCTGGGAACTAAGATCTCACATGCTACACAGCATGGCCAAAAAATAAAAACAAACAAAATGTAGTTAGGTTGTTATAAAAAAAATAAGTATCTACTTTCCCTACCAGAAGAAAAGCATGGTGATGATTTATCTTTTGGCCTTCCACTCCAAAAAGTGCCTTATACTTGGTAGGTTCTCAAACATCAGTAAATGCTTGATATGAATAAATTAACATGACTTAGTGCTTGAATGAGTGCTTAATTCTATTTTCTTGACTCTATCGAGCTGGAAAGAGGGTAGAACATGACTGACTAGAAATTAGGAGTCATGAAACTATAGTGTATCCTTTCTTAATCTTTTTGAGGATGACCATAGAACCAGGAGTGGACTTCCCAGGTGGCTCAGGGGAAAAGAGTCTGCCTGCCAAAGCAGGAAATGCAAGTTTGATCCCTGGGTCAGGAATATCCCCTGGAGAAGGAAATGGCAATCTGTGCCAGTATTCTTGCCTTGAAAAAAATCTCATGGACAGAAGAGCCTGGCAGGATACAGTCCACGGGGTCCCAAACAGTTGGACACAACTGAACATACACACACACACACACACACACACACACACAAAGAATCAGGAAGCTCAAACTTTCCTTAAGTTATTTGGAAAGAGAATTAAATGAAAGGGAAGTTTTAGTATTTCTGAGTCCACTGCCATCAGTGTTAAATTGCCATTTTTAGGAGAAGAGGGAAATGTGCATGCCTTTAGCAGAAATGTTTTTTGATGGACATGGGACTCCATTATATTATACTGGTCATGTGTCAAAACTAAGTATATCACCACTGTCTTGATTATTACCTTGGAGATAGAAATATTAAAAAAGTGTTGGAAATCAACGAGAATAAATCTTGCAGTTTGGACCCCTGCCACAGGGCAGAAAACAACAAAAAAGGCATGATATTTTAGGACATCCTGGCCTTTGTCCAACAAGATGTTTACCAGATTGCTGAAATTTACTAGCACAACAATACCATTCATCACTGAGACAACTAGAAAAAAAATACACTTCTTATTTGCCTTTATTTCAGAAATGATTTCCTGGTAATACCTTAAATAGAGTTTTATTTACTTTAATTAATAACCCAATTTTACAAAAGATAAAGTTTCCTTTACTGAATTTGGAAGAGCAACTAAATAATTCAGTCTAGGCTTGAAAACAATTGTGTTTTAACACAAGATTTAGAATTCTATTAAAGAATGCTCATTGAAAAATAATTAGATTTAGGAAACCACTTTGTTCCTGTTACTATTTTGAGTAAATATTACCTCAAAACTAAGTGACTTAAAAATAATTTTATTTGCTCATAATTTAAGCTACAGAAAATTTGAGCAGGGCTTAGAAGAGCTGCTCTCCCTTGGGGTCTGTTAGGCATTTGCAGTCAGGTGGCCGTGGTTTTCCAGATGGCGCTAGTGGTAAAGAACCCACCTGCCAGTGTAGGAGATATAAGAGATGCGGTTCCATCCCTGGGGCGGGAAGATCCCCTGGAGGAGTGCAGAGCAACCCACTCCAGTATTCTTGCCTGGAGAGCCCCACGGACAGAGGAGCCTGGCGGGCTACGGTCCGCAGGGTCGCAGTCAGATGTGACGTAGCACACATGCGTGTTGGCTGAGGCCATAACCATGGTGAGGCTGACCCAGTGTGGGTCACCTCAAGGCAGCTCACTCTAGTGACTGACAGTTGGTGCTGCTCTTGCCTGGGAGCTCAGCTCCTCTGTCAGCTGGAGGGTCTTCAGGTGGCCTCACCAGCACAGCGGTCTCTATGTAGACAGACTCAACTTACATGACCCCACACTGTCCCCAGAGAAAATATCCCGGAAGAACTGGGTAGAAACAGCCTTTTCTGACCTAGTTCCAAAAGTCATGCCATGTCACCTTCACCACAGCCCCTTAGTTCTGAGAGACATCATAAGGCCATGCCAAATTTGAAGGGAGAAGAATTTGACTCCATCTTTCAATGGGGTTGGAAAAGTGTGTATTGATAAGAATATGTAAGGATCCCGAGTTTCACAAATAAGACCAAATTTGGAGCAGCCAAAAATTACCTTTTTTAAAAAGAAGGTATATTTTAAATGGAGGCAGGAGTTAGCCTCACAAAGGTGTGTGTGCACATATATATGTATATCTGATAATTTATATTAAAACCAAATTTCCAAATAGGTTGCAAAAACCAAATAACCAAATTTCCCTATAGGTTTCTGATTTTGACACAGACTGATAAGAACATCATCATAGAGTCTACCTGATCAGCATTTAGGAATCAAAGACTAGCTGATATTTAATGGTCCTTCCCTTTGTGACATTCTAAGAATACATAGCTAGGATTATTTCCCCTTTGTATTCTTCCTGTAATTTCTGAGTGAGCTTAGTTAGCACTCTGATGCCTTATCTAGCCCTTTCAGTATGTTATTGAGTCTGATGTCAGAACAGTTCTTGTTAGGGATACAAATAGGGATGACAGGAAAAAAAAATAATATCCTGTTGGAAACCAAGAGAATAGTCTTTTCACCTACATTTTGTCACTCCAGTTACATGAGCTTGTTCATATCACCGAACTTTTTCTAAAAACCTTCTGAAAAAATGAAATTATCATACTGCCTTACCTATTTCATTTGATTGCTGTGAGATTAATGAGGTAATATATTTTCATTTTTTATAAATTGTAAAGTTATGCAAAGTTTTAATAATAGAATACAAATCTCTTAAGTCCCCCAAGTAAATATAAATTTTCTAGTAATTCAGAGATTGTAGGGTTATGATTTTAATCATTAAGATGACTCTCTAAGAACTAAGCTGCAAAAGCCACAAACCTGATTTTTTTATGGTAAATCATCAGGGGAACGATGTATATAATTCATCCCACGTAATTTTTGTTATTATAAAATTCTAGAATGACAACATAAGTAATCAAAATGATCAGCCATCCAGATATATCATTTTTTGTCCACATTTGAAATGAACCTGCACTTTGGCACTGAACAACTGTTAAGGCAATTTTGACACTGAACACTAGAATTCACATTCAACAGTGTATAAAAGTAAGCAAAAGTGGGAATTAAGACTTGGACAAAGAAGCCCATGAAGTAATAATAAAATGTAGGCAGTAACTTTTTTTCAAATGAAAGGAAACATGTCTTTACTTCGTTAAAGAACACTAATTATCAAAGATTTGGCAGAAGTCTGACACTCCTTAATTGCATGAAATTAGCAAACTGACATTTCTGAAAATGGCAGTGATCATAGTGTATAGTGCAGTTAAGTATCCTCCTACAAGGTGGCTGTTCTGTGGTTTGCTGTTTGTCACTGAAAACACTTCATTTCTGTTATTCCTCTGTGAACTATTTCCGGAGTTAGTTGTTAGAATATATTTATGCATGTGCAGAATTACCTGCATTTTGATGTTCGAATTTATAACCATAGCTGATCACTGAATTGGAAACTATAGACTTCTTTCCACTATCATCAGATAGTGATAATGTGAAAAATTCTTCGGAAAGAAAGTAGAAGTTGGTGATTTCAGATACATTTTCTGTAATTTCCAAGGAAATATGAAAATAGAAATATGGTTACCTTGATAATCTACCTTCATATGCTTATGTATGATAAAAATCAAAAAGATATCTTCCCAACCTAGTTATTATATACCCTGTTGTAATTTTCCTTTTAATTGAAAACTGTAGATTGAATTCTTTTTTCCATGAGAATTTGGGCGATTTCTATCTTGTGTCTGATATATCCTCAGGCAGGGCCTGCCTAATAAATCAATGATGTCTAAAAATATTCACTAAGCCTTTATTGAATGAATGAAAGAATAATCTTCAGCACTTCAAGTTTCAGATATAATGAAGAGGTTAAAAAGCACTTCTGATTTGTTATACAATCTTAAAATATTAATATGAAAATGTATATGAATTTGAGTTAATAAAATATCATCTTATATTAATATGGGACAAAGCCAATGGAAGAAAGCAAGGCAAAAGACCTCATAATTTAATATTATCTCCATTAACATTCATCATGATAATTTATTTTAAATGCCATGACTTTTGAATAAAAGCAATCTATCCTTATACATCTAGTGGAATGACTATGAAAATGTCTTTTTAATGCCATAGAACATTTAGTTTTTCAATGTATTTGCATTCATAAACTAAAAACTCAGTTATTTAGATCCAAATTTAAAGTCTGAAAGTAACGCTTTGTATAATACATTTTAGAGAAGTTACAATCACAAATTTTATTCATTTTACTCTGATTAATAGTCATAAAATTGATACTGTTTTGTTAATTAAAACTGAAAGAACCATTCTCCCAAAAGTTTTGAATAAATTTTCAAGTGTTGACACAATAGCATGGTTACATACTCACATAATTTTAATTTTATATGTAGATCTGCGATAGTGCTAAGTTTATCAAAAGAATATTTGATGATTTGGTTAAAGTTCTCTACTGAAAGCATGTTTATATAGAAAGGTATAGATTTACAAATCACTTCCACTTAACACTTATCAAAGAAATGACTCTCTAAAATAAGAAGAATGAGGTGAACACACTGTGTACGGAGACATTTGAACCATACCTGGCAAACGATTAATTTTTCTTTTATGCAAAAGAGTAATTACATGGGTAAATAGTGTGCTCTGTTTATGATTTTTTTTTAAATAAATCCTTAGACTTTGTTAGAAAAGGTAAAGCAGATATTTTAAACAACAGTTGATATAATTCCTGGAAGAAGACAAATGTGATAGTGGAAAACTATCACTGAAACACTACTCTCTTTGTAAACGCATTCTTTGTGACTCTGTGGTCATGTGTCCCTTTCTAATGACTGCATGTTGCTCTTCCTCCCCTGCTAAGGTCTGGAGGCAGTGCCAAAAGACCTTCCTCCCGATACTGCGCTGCTGGACCTGCAAAACAACAAAATAACTGAGATCAAAGATGGAGACTTTAAGAACCTGAAGAACCTTCATGTAAGAATTGCCATTTTCTTGAGCTATAACAAGATCTGACTCAAAGTATTTTTGAAAACAAAACTTAGGTAAGGTCAAGAGTGCTCTGTGGTAATAAATAAGCACATAAGTGTTTATTAAATTCTCTTTTTAGGGAGTGACGGAGTAGAGCATGGTATTAACCCCTAAAAATCAGAGCCAATTTTCTCACATATACCCCTATATAGGCTTCCCTTGTGGCTCAGTGGTAAAGAACCTGCCTGCCAATGCAGGAGACTTGGGTTTGATCCCTGGGCGGGGAAGATCCTCTGGAGAAGGAAATGGGAACCCACTCCAGTATTTGTGCCTGAGAAATCCCATGGACAGAGGAGCCTGGCGAGCTACATTTCATGGGGTCACAAAGAAGTCAAACATGACTGAGAGACTAACCACTGGCAACAACACCTATGTAGCTTTAGTATTTGCTTTCTAAAAGATACATTATATCTTAATCTTCTCACATTTCACTGATAAAAATCTTTCTCTTTCCAATATCTTTCCGAGAACTTATTTCAACAGTGGAACAAAGTGGACTGATCTTAGTTTATTTCATTGTTCTGTTTTCTTTAGGAGGCTCAAGAAACATGGGTTTGATCCCTGGGTTGGGAAGATCCCCTGGAGGAGGGCATGGCAACCCACTCCAGTATTCTTGCCTGGAGAATCCCATGGACAAAGAAGCCTGACAGGCTGACTCTGTCCATGGGGTCACAAAGAGTAGAACACAACTGACTGATTGAGCATGCATGTGCTGAATTCTTATCTGTATCTGTGTGTGTATTCTGATTTTTCATTTCCCTCTAATCTAGTATAAGGTAGCACAGTCTACCAGTCAGGATTCCAGCAGAAAAGGGATGTCACGATCAAGACAGTATGTACTTATCAACCTTCAAACAGCCAAGATGAGAAAAGCAACATTTACGCAGTAGGAGAAAATTTACCAGATTTTAAAAAGGAAGGAAAGAATTTTTCCTTGACATTTTAAGATTGCTCATGAAACAGTTAATAAACATAATAGCCATAATAAAATGACATCATCAAATTACTGAAGTAATATAGGAACATTATGATATAAGTAGTGAATATTATGGGCACTAATGATGAGAAAAAAAAAGACACGTTCCTACATCAGGTTACCCAGATGGTGTTTTGAGATAATATGAGACAAAAGGGTCATAGAGGATTAGCAGAATTTTGAAAGGAAGAGAAGAGTTTTCTGTGCAAGAGGAAGGAAAGGCAGAAGAAAATGATCAAAAGACAAGAATAGAAGATGGCTAAAGTGAAAGATACAGACTCCAAAATAGTGGAAGCTGAGGCCTGAGCTGTAGATGAACCCTGGACCAGTGGGATCCTTCTCCACTGACAGGATACAGGACATGGGACCCTACTCACCTTCCTCTATTTCCATGTTCTGATTTCACTGGTAGTGAGCTGATGGAGATGCCAACAAAGTTTGTTAGTGATTATTTAAACTAACTATTGAACAAGTTAAAAGAGGCAATAATAAAAAAATGAATATATTAGCTTCAATAAACAAAAATATAAAATGCTTCATCTTATTTGCATAAATTTACCCTCAAGCTACTTTTTAAGAAAGGAAAAGTCTCTTGATCTCAACTTCCTGTTTGTTTAAATGTTATCTCAAAAGTTTGTTTAAACTCCTCATACCTTAAATAAGAGATACCTAGCTCTGTGACCTTCTCACTAAATCTGATGTTTGTAATAATGTGTTCTTTCTTTGCCTGATCCCCTCCTAAGTATGTTTTTAGGCAATTTATCATCTTGGCAATCCCTTTCTTTCTAATTTAAAGTAAATACTGAAAGAAGAGAGAGAGTTTATTAGAGCTTCTAAACATTTAGAGGATGTTAAACAGCTATTTTCCTCTTAGTCTTTCATTCATGATCATTTCTATCCTTGTTATTATGCAAATAAACATCGTAATTTTAGCAAGGAAAGCCACCCTTGAATGAGAAGGGAGAGAAATAAAAATTTACTAAGGATTAAAATGGAAAGGATTTAAGAGAAAAATGTTGCTTTATTTCCCTCAGTCAGTCAGTTGCTCAGTTGTGTCTGACTTTGAATTTTTCCAGTTTACAATTGTGCCTCACTATAAGCGGTACATACTGCTTGAGAGTAGCTGTATTCTTATAAATAGCATAAAAATAAGCAATTATTCTATAAAATAATGGAAAGTTAAACATTATAATCCAAGATTCTATGTACTTCCTTTGAATTAAAGTTTAGTTGCATTCTTGCTCAGTTGTGTCTGACTCTGCAATCCCATGGGCTGTAGCCCACCAGGCTCCTCTGTCCATGGGATTCTCCAGGCAAGAATAGAAGAGGGGGTTGCCATTTCCTCCTTCAGGGAATCTTCCCAACCCAGTGATCAAATCTGTGTCTCCTGTGTCTTATGTGTTGCCAGGCAGATTCTTTACCATTGAGTCACCTGGGAAATAAATCTAGTAAAAAACTTTTGTTTTAATTAAAGATGAACAAACATTGTCAAGAATTGATAATAGCAAACATTTGTTCTTTTTTTGGGATTTAATGGATAGGTTTTTTTTTTTTTTTGATTGAAAGAATCTTTAAATTCTACAGTGCTTTAATTTTCAAAAAGCCAAGCACTTGTTTAGTCATTACTATGGGGCTTCCCTGGTGGCTAAGCTGGTAAAGAATCCATCAGCAATGCAGGAGTCCTGAGTTCAATCCTTGGGTTGGGAAGATCCCCTGGAGAAGGGGGTCCCCTGGCTACCCACCCCAGTATTCTGGCCTGGAGAATTCTATGGACTGTGTAGTCCATGGGGTCTGCAAAGAGTCAGACACAACTGAGCGAATTTCACACACACGTACTAAGCACTGTTTCTAATATCTTGTATTCATTAACTTATTTAATTATTATAATTGTTCTAATGAAGTAGACACTCTAGATAACACCTTAATACAGATGAGGGCACACAGGCACAGTGTGGTTATGCTACTTGCTTATTGTCACACAGCAAATAATAGCCAGAGCTTGAGCCCTAAACTCAGGAGCAGTCTGGTTCAAGTCTGTGTACTTATCATTGTCTGTAAATATGATAACAATAAAATTCTTTAAAACAACCCCTCGTACAGTATGAGCCCTACATTAGTGGCTTTGGGGAAAGTTGTACATACTATTAAGTTGGATTTCAACATCTTTCCTTTCAATTTTATTGAAATATAATTAATTTACTGCACTATATATCTTCACCAGGGATACCCTGATGACTTAGCCAGTAAAGAATCTGCCTGCAATGCAGGAGACTTCGGTTCGATCCCTGGGTTGGGAGGATTCCCTGGAGAAGGAAATAGCAACCCACTTCACTATTATTGCCTGAGAAATCCATGGACAGAGGAACCTGGTGGGCTGCAGTCCGTAGGGTCACAAAGAGTCACCTGAGCGACTAACACTTTCACTTTCATACAACTTCAAGGAGTACAGCATAATAACTTGGCATACATATATTGTGAAGTGATTACCATAGTACGTTTAATTAATATCTATCATCTCATACAGATATTAAAAAAGAAGAAAAACAAATGTTTTCTTTGTGATGAGAACTTATAGGATTTACTCTCTTAGCAATGTTCAGGCATACCGTACAGCAGTGTTCACTATTGTCATTTTATACATTGCATTCCCAGTACCTATTGGTCTTAAAACTGGAAGTCTGTACCTTTTGACTACTTTCTTTGATGAAGGTGGTGAAAATGCTTTTACTCCTCCTTCACCTTATTTCTATTGCCAGTCACTTTTTCATCATCTCTCCCCTACCTACCAGGCTACATCACTTTTTCTTTAGTTACAAAGAAGTAGGTAGTTCTGATTTTTTGAGCCTGTGCTTCACTTTTAGGTTAAATGGCACTCAGGGCATTTTCTGATCCTCAAGCAACAGTGCCCCTCCTAATCTGGCTTCTCCCAGCCTGTTATCTAAATAATGATAGTCCATTTCTGCTTGTCTTTCTTCTTTTCATCAGCTGATCTCCTGAACAATATACATCGTTTACCTTTGACTCTTTCTCTGGTTTATCTGGGCTTTGTCATTTGTCAATGTAATTAGTCCATTTTTTGCCATATCAACATTTGCCATATAATTTTATAAACCATGCTTTCCTAAATACCTATCCCTGTGTATAGAGGTAATGTTAGCCATTCTCAGCAGTACTAAATATACGAGTGACTTTTTTCACATGTGGATCTGTTTTATATGAAACTCTAATTTATACAGGTCTTGGAAAAGAATCTGCCTAGAAGGCAAGAAACCTGGGTTCATTTCCTGGGTCGGGAAGATTCCCTGGATAAGGGAATGGCAGTCTACTCCAGTCTTGCCTGAAGAATCCCACGGATAGAAGAGCCTGGCGGGCTAAAGTCCATGGGGTCACCAAGAGTCAGACACAACTGAGCAACTAACACTCCACTTTATATCATGATGATCAAACTTGAAGTTTATTTATTTTTCAGTGGTGATTCTTCTTGCTGGACTAGACCTTTTCTACAAACAATGCTATTTGAAAGTTACTTTGCAAGAAAGCAGTCTATATACATGATTGATTTTTTTAGTCCTCACAACAAACCCCTGTAGGTGTTATTATTATTTCTGCTTTACTGAAGAAATAACTAGGGACAAATGTCACACCACCTCCAAAATATAGCAGCAGTTATTACTATAGCATACTCACTAGTAGAGACATTATCTAGTTATTATCTAGTAAAAGAAGCGATATTTTATTACCTGAAATGGCAGGTAATACATCAGCAGGTTGACTCTTCATAATAGGTTTCAACATTCAACATAAAATAAAACATATTTTTCAGACCAGGTTTAGTGCATTTAATTATATCAGACTTTCAGAATTTCCTTCCACGGTTGGCACTTAAGGACGTCCTGTGTTTATAATTAAGCATCCACCATTTTGACTGTTTTTTAATGATGCAAGTCCTCTCTTCTCTCCTCTAGCTCTGGCTTTTACTGATTTTTCTGGACATTTTGCTTATTAATATCAATTTCCTAAGACTTTAACCTTCATGTTTTTTTTTAACTTTCTGTAATAGTTACTGAAATTTCCTAGGATTTTATTTTAATCAAACAATTCACCTGTTAGGATTAGTTAAAAAGAGTATTAACTTATTATTTGTAATAAGTTTTAATCAAATAATGTGAACTACATGAGAATGTACATGGGTTATTAAACTAGCTATTACCTTCCAAAAATAGTCTTACATTTTTGAGATGGAAAGTTCCCACTCTTCTATTCCTCTTGTTCCTTTCTTGCTGCTTTACATTTTCACATTGCCTAAAAACAAACCACAATTGAAAACAGAAGTTTCTTAGATCTTGATAATATTATCCTAAATTCCTTATGATAAGTCAACAAGTTGACATAATGCAGTGTGGTTCTGTATACACATAGGTCATTGGAAGATAATTGAGGTAGTCCAAAAGTAGGTGTAGCAGTATCTATAGTATAACAATAATGGATTACAAGTAATTTCCTACATTAGGAGAACTTAGAAACACACATTTTAAAATTACAAAAAATTAACATATTTGACTACATAAAACCATTATGTGCAAAATGAGCAAAAGCAGAAGGAAAATATAATGTATCCATAAATCATTTTTTAAAATACATTAAACATTAAGAAAAATGAGAAGTTTTGTGACCAAGCAATCCTTTTCCTCCAAAAAATAAAGTAAATGGTAGCAAAAGAAAAGGAAATTTCTTTAACCTCTCAAGAGACAAGGTAATGCAAAGTAAAGCAATGAGCTACAACATAATGTGTTGATTTGCAAACTTTTGGAAAATGATTATATCACGTTCCGCGAGGCTACAGGATAATTTTGCTCTCTTGCATTGTTGGTGATGGTATAAATTAGTGCCACCATTTTGTAGTGGATTCCATGACAACAGCCAATGAAGATGGAATTTACAGGTTGAAAAGCTGACTGGAGAATAGATGTCTATGGCACTAGATTCTTCCCAGGTGGCTCTAGGAATTTCAATATTTTGGAGCATTTATTGTTTAAAAATTAAATATTCATATCTCTGTATGTATAGCCTGCATTTTATCAAATTTCTCTCCCCTTTTCTCCTGATGTTCAGATTCTCATGTGCTTTTCAAGTAATCAGATCAGTTTAATTTTTTTTCCAATTTCTTCTAATTTTGCAGATTTCTCTGCTAGTCCCATAAATGGAATGAAATTACACACTTGCTTGACATACATATTTATGTGTGGAAGGTTCTGGAATTAAGATGTTCCTTTTGTTCACTATCTACAGACACTGATTCTCATCAACAACAAAATTAGCAAAATCAGCCCTGGGGCATTTGCCCCTTTGGTGAAATTGGAACGACTTTATCTGTCCAAGAATCAACTGAAGGAATTGCCAGAGAAAATGCCCAAAACTCTTCAGGAGCTGCGTGTCCACGAGAATGAGATCACCAAAGTGCGAAAGTCTGTGTTCAATGGATTGAACCAGATGATCGTCGTAGGTACAGATATTCTTATAGCTCTAAAACCAGGATTCAAGGTTCACCTTAAGAGATTACAAGTAAGCTTTAGCTACAGGAAGGTAAATTAGCTAGAATTTACAGCTCTTAAAGCATGTAGAAATAACAGTAGCTAGGCCAGGAGAAATGGGTATTGAATCTGTGCCTTACAAAACTTTTATTCTTGAACTTGAGGATCTGAAAATGTAGGAAGAAATCTCTAGGCTGATGCTACACTACCTACTGCAGGCCCAGGATGCAGGATGGAATTAAGCTGTGCTTAATTAGAGATATTTGGAGAATACCTTTACATTATTGGAATTTAGTCTGAACATCTATAAATCATTTGCTTTAAATAATGTGTTCCAATGTTTTTCTCTATGTGTGGTAAAATATTTGTCATATTATAATTGGCTTACAAAATGCTAGATTCATATTATTTAACAGTATTTTAATATATCTTAGTAATTGCCCTATAACAAGTGTGATTTATAAAAACTCACTTTTCTTGATTTCTAGGCAAACCTGTGTATGGACCTTAAGTAATTTTGTTGTTATTGTTTTTTATATTATTACTTTTTCCTAAATCATTTTTGTTGATGTTATTGTTTTTGGTTGTTTTAATAAGGGATACTTTTACCACATTTTGCCATCCCTTTGAGACACAAGCCCTTTATTTTTTCTTTTGTATTTTCAGTCAAGTTGTTACTGATCCAAATTTTTCTTGTTGAGCAGACACTACTCTGGCTTGCAATTTCCTCAGGTTGTCCTCTAAAAGTTTTGCCCTTATTGCATTTGTAGAACTTGGCACCAACCCGCTGAAGAGTTCAGGCATTGAAAATGGAGCCTTTCAGGGAATGAAGAAGCTCTCCTACATCCGCATTGCTGACACTAATATAACCACCATCCCTCAAGGTGATGAAAATTCTTTTTTTTTTAATATATTTTGTTCATTTGATATTCTTCTTTTAAAAAAATCAATTTATTTATTTTGACTGGAAGCTAATTACTTTATAATATTGTAGTGGTTTTTGCCATACATTGACTTGAATCAGCCATGGGTCTTCAAATCAATTTAAATATCTAAATCCAAAAGTTTTGGCACTAAAAAAACAAAATGGCTTTGAAAATTTGAATGGTGACTCAAGTGGCCAACATCATTTCTAGTAAATTCTCTATCCCTTGAAGTGTTCCAGTAAAACTAGCTGGCCACTGGGCCATCCAGGCTGATTGTAGAGATGGCTAGACTCTTTCAGCTATAAAGATACTTACATCTAATGTAAGATGCAAGTTAACACACAATGATTTTAAATTATGGAACTGTGATATCATAAAGAAAAGATTACAGTTATTTAAAAAAAAAAACAGACTGCTTTTGTAGTACTTTGTTTTAAAAAATGATACTATGGAAGAACATCTGAAATTGAGCCAATTTTTACTTTGAGTCTCCAATCCCATAGTGAGTTCCATTGCATTTTAGGACATTCTAGTCATTACTATCTTAGTAACAGGATCTACAATGGTCACGCTCTTTTAAGAGTGGTGGTTATATGTTGTAAAGAGTGTGGATTTTGGAGTCTGCTTGAGTTCAGACTGTCACTATTTGGCTGTATGATCTTGGACAAGTTATTCACCATCTATGACACATTTGTAAAATCTGTAAAGTGGTAATAATATTAGTATCCACTTTGTTGGATTGTTTTAAAATTAAATCCATAGAAAAATATCTGGCCTATAAATAAGTAGTGGGTAACTGTTACCTTCTATTATTCATTAAAAGTATTTTAAACACTCATTTATCTTAGGCAGAGTATAAGCATGGAGACAGGGCATGAATAGGATACAGGCCTGCCTTCAAAAAGCTTATAGCCTAGAGCGAAGCCAGGCAAGTAAACAGCAATCATCACACAGTCACAGGGATAACTTCACCATTCTAAGATTTAGTCAAGAGAGGCTTTTAAGCCAACAAATCAGCAAAAATAAGTTTCTCTAATTTTCACATTTTTCTGGTCCCTGGTATTTCAGTCACACAAATCCACCTCTGTACTCTCAAATTTTCCCCTCAATCTGGCCTTTCCTCAGTTTAGATGTCTTGTTCTTAAATTGATACAAAATACAGGTACTTGCCCACAGGAAACAATTATCCTTTATTGTGCTTCTACTGCAATTTCAGGTCTAGAGAGTACTTAGTGCATAGGATGGTTCTTACCCCTTGCCCTCTCTATAATATTTTTGCTACAAAGCAGTTTTGATGCCCATTGATAGCAACTACTGGTATAGATGATAGATAGATGATAGATCAAAAGACAGATGATAGACAGATAGATGAAGGAGATTGATTTATAGTTCACACAGTACTTTCATATTGAGTCTCTGATTTGTTACATGGTAATAGGTAATTTTTACATCACCAGTGCAGGAATTTTATGTTTGTAAATATATTTTAATTTACACTTACAATAGTACATTTTATTTTATATATATATGTATATACACACACACACACATATATATATATATATATATATATATATTCTCTAAAGCCTTAGAGCTGTAGGAGGTAAAGTATAAAGTAGCTGGAATTTAAAGTCCAGGTATTTTTTATTACTTCATGCTACCAGATGACTTGCATTAAAGCACATTCTTTGATTTTGCTGTACTTCTAATTACATCTCCTAAATATATTTCAGTAACACATTTCATCACCTAGTGATCAGTTTTCCTTGATTTCTTATATCTATTTATTATTATGCTAGGTGCTCTTTTCTCATCTTCTCTACTTACTTTTATTTACTAAACTCTTAATAGAATTAAAATCATAATAACTCAGTTTTATTAAGCACTTGTGCCAAATGCTTTTCATGAATTCTGCTATATTATGCCAAATGCTTTTCTTGGCTTCTGTTATATGAATCTCAAAACTACCCTTTTAAGTAATATTATCACACCTGTTTTATAATTGAGGAAGATAAACTGAAAGACATAAAGTGAATTGTGACCAAAGCCTCCAAGCTAGGCAGTGGCACAGCTGGGCTGTGCTGGGCTGATGCCATAGCTCGTGTGTTTGACCCTTTCATTCTTCTGGCGTCTTAGGTCCTTCTGCCTGTGTATATCTATACCTATGTCATGTATGAGTCTACCATTCCTAGGCTGGTGCCCTTATGCCTGAACGTAGCCTCTTGCCAGGAGTCTTAATTTCTACGTGTTATCTCCGATCACTGAGTGATGTCCAAAGGCAATGGGGTAGAGTAGAGAGATTTTAAATTCACACTCTGAAGTTAGACCTACGTGGGAGAGAGGATTGAGTCAGTCGTTTAGTTATCCCGTGACTTCAGGCTTATTACTCCACAGTTCTAAAACCTCAGTTTTGCTACCTATAAAATGGTGGTATTAGTGACACCTCTTACAGAATATTTGTGAGGATTAATACATATAAATAAGATTTGGACATACACAGTATCTGGCCCAAAGTAAGCTCTCAACATATTTTATCTTAAAAATGGAAAAGGGAAAGAGAAAAACAGTAATGGGTATAGAATCTTTGGCTAAATGCCACTGTGGCAGAGACTAATGATGTTCTTTATAAATTTGGATCTCTCTATCCTCCTATTGCAAACTTCTCTTTCACAGTGAAACTTACCATAACTTTCCTTTTGGGAAATCGATGTCCCCAAAGGGAAGACACTTAGAAATGAGGTAAGAATGAGGGATGTGATGATAATTGTTGTTCCAGAGATACTACATTTTTTAAAACACCTTTTCATAGTGACAGGGAAGAAAGGATGTACATTCGCTGTTTTGCTATATACTCGCTTGCTTTATTTATGTGAATATTTTTAAAAATCCACATTTATATATTCTGAGACTAAAGTGATTGAAATCCCTTAGTCCTTATTGACTGTGATTTCCTGACATTTACCTGCAAGAATCATGCCATTGTTATTTCATTTTCTTCAGTGAAGAGCATGTTATTCTCTTTGGCCATCTGGGAGCATACCACAGTCCCTACTTATTAGCTAGATAATCTACAAAATGGGTAACTGTGAATCTCTGTTTCTTCATCAATGAATCAGAATTAATGAAAAATAATTTATATATTGAAATAACTTACATGAGCTAGGTTAGGAAAATGCTAATCTCAGTGTTAAGCACACAACAGACCGACAGTAAACAGAAGTCCCTTTCTTTGGTATCTCCCACACAAATCATACTACTGGTGAGAAATTAATAGTCATTTTCAAATCAAATATGGAATAAACTTTTACATTAATAAAATGTCTTGACTGAGTTCAGTGGGATGTAGTGAAAATTTCAAGCCAAACATAACCTGGGATTTTCCAATTTTATTCATTATAAACAACCAACCCTATCTGCTAAGCAGATGTTAGTTCTCCATGTAACCAATTTGCTGTTTTCTTTGTAGTTGTTGCTGTCCTTGTAAATGGAACAATATGTAGGTTTTTAAAAACTGTATAAAAACATAATACATTCTCAGATGGCAAGAGGAAATGAAAATATAGTATTTAAACTTTTATACTTACATTACTACATTTTTAGAGGTCATAGACATTCAGTAGGTACTATCCAGAGGTTTAGCTGATGCATTGGATTTCAAATTATTTCCCCAGGTGCCCTACATATGGCAGATCACTTGATTATAGGACTCTGTACTCCTCTAGTATAAAGAAACAGTCTTAATTTAAAAGGATCAAGTAAGCTCTTTCTACACATCATGTTGCAGAAAGATTTGATGTTTTATGGAAAAATTGATTAAAACTAAAGCCAACACAGTATATAAGTTATTAATGAATCTCAGTAATGAAATGCATGATTAAGTTTGTTTATATATAAGTTTGAACTTATCCATAATTACTTATTTATACTTCAGATGCCAAAAGTTTCATTTTAGAGCCATTATCCTTTGTCAATGGCAGTGTGAACCCGTTAACAAAGGTGTGAGAAACTAATGAGATTCAGAGTTTGACTTCACTTCTACAACTGTATCGGCAGTGCCTAGAACAAAAATCTACTTCATGGTAATCGGCTACATAGCAAACACAGTTTGTTAAAATCAAAAAAGTAGAAATGGCTTGTACTACTTCTGAAAACATGTATTATCGTAAAAGGGATGAAGGAAAAAGATGAAAAGCAAAACTGATGAGTAAGATGCAAAGCAAATCCTTTGAAATTGAATGTCTTTTGGAAAATTGATGACATGTGTCTGCATTAAGTCTTCATACATTCTCTAATTATATTTCTCTGCTAATTTAACTTCCTGTATTTCCATATTGCAGGTCTTCCTCCTTCCCTTACTGAATTACATCTCGATGGCAACAAAATCACCAAAGTTGATGCAGCTAGCCTGAAAGGACTGAATAATTTGGCTAAGTAATAATGTTATTTCATAATATTCTATCAGTGAAATGGATCAGTATATTAGTGCCTTTATGCTCGGAATTATAAACATGATGATTGATTTTTTGCCTGTACCACAATTTTTGTTTTTGTTACTAATAACCACAAACTTCAGCTTTGCTGAATTATTAAAAAAAAAATTAGTGAAATAGTGTACTTATCATAAGTCCACTAATATCAGCCTTATATTTTATGAATACCATACTGTTTTTAGATTAAGATATATCATATGTACCAAATATTTGATTAAATCAGTATTCTCATTCAATATGTTCTAACTTGACTGTATCAAACAGAAGTTTAAGTAATTATAACATAGTATTCAGAATTTGAAAATATATTAAAATGAAAGCTACTAGGACATGAAAATATTGGGCATCTTACAGCATGTATTAGAATATATATCATGTGATTTTTTTTAACTCCTGTTCCCTGAAGAGTTTAAAATATCTCTCTGGACATTAAATATACTTTCAAAAAAGTTTTTGTTCTGATCCTTCTAAACTTTTTTTCTTTATAGATGATCATTAATGGCCATTCTGCTTTCTAACCTAATTTCAATTTTTTTTTATATTTGTAATCTGGTGAAGCTGTAAAAAGAGAGTGTTGGCAGACCCTTTCAGCTGTCTTCATGAACAGTCTGCTCCTAATTCACATGTACTGCTGAATGTCCTTGCTGAGAAGCACTGTTATGCCAAATTGTCTCACTCCTTTTTTTGCATGTAAATTTCACCATGGATAAATAAATACAAAACATATCATTTATCTTTGAGAAACACATAAAAGTAGATGCAGATATAATGCAATTTTCCCCTTTTTCTGTGGGTATTCCCCAGTGACCCAGGGGAGCGTGAGGGATGAAGGTATTAAATGCATGTGACTGTAGCTGCAATATGTAACCCTGGTGCCTCAAATGATAAGAAACCCATTATCTAAAGCAATTTTAATTAGTCTCTAAGAGAGAAAATAATATTCAAAATAGTGTTGCCTACCTTTGTATGTTGATTAGGCCTCTCTAGCTAGAGAGAATTGTAGGTGATGAGTTGCATTTCTCACTGTGTAGAAGTATCTTTAGGACAGCTATTATTATTGGATTATTATCAGTAGTATTAGGAGGAGTATAAGTAGCAGGAATTGGAAATATTATAAAATTCTAAATGTGGTAAATCATTCATAATATTGTGCCATTTTAGAAAAGTAAGTTTATTTTGTACTGAAAGTGGTATGGAGACTTTAAGATTCCACACTTCAAAATTAACATCACATACTTTTTATTAAACAGAAGCATAAAGAGCTAATAAACTTTAAGAAGGTCAATAGAAATGAAGATTTTTGTTTAAAAGGATGTGAATTCCAGTCATTAAATGAGAGAAAATTGCCTCACTGGCCAAGCAAACTTTCTCAGTTCTTGAATTAATTAAATACATTCCTCTTTGGAATCAAGTTCAGAAAAGTCTACTTTGTAAAGCATCAAATCCTTATGTTTTTGCTCCTCCCTGATTCTGGAATATGAGAAGTACATTGGTGCTGAAAATCAAAACTGTGAAAGGGAGAAAAAAGCAGCCACTAATCTCAGAACACTGTTGCAGAGCAAATATTCAAATTAGTTATTAAGATCAAGAGAAAAGCCTGTGTGTCCCTCTGCAAGAATACAAAGTGGTTTTCAGGCAAACTTCCCTTTTCTTATTAAGCATATATACCATATTCTCTCCTAATAGGTGGAATTTTCTTTGATGGAAAGAATCATGGTTTTTGAGTCATGTCTCCTCTGCCCTCACAAGCTTAGAACAGAAGTCTTTAACATAATAGGTCCTAGAAAACATTTGATGAGTGAATATAAATTAACCATTGAAAATGTAGTTTCCTTCAATTAGATTATTAGGAATATTATATTCTAAGAAATGTATTAGCCCAAATTGGATATGAGACTTGGAGTGCTATAAGAACTAAGAGTCAAGGTTCTGAAGTAGAAAAGGAAAGACCGGAAAGAAGAGATGATAGTTTAAGACTGAGGGAAAGACAAGATATTATGAGACAAGGAGCCAGGCTGATAATCAACAAGTAAGGCAAGCCACCTGTGTTATTAAGAGCCTAAAATCAGTACATTTTAATCTCAGTTATTTCAAATACCAAGTCATGATGAAAACTGGAAGACTTTGGTTACCTAAAATGAAAGTCGCTCAGTTGTGTCCAACTCTTTGCGGATCCCATGGACTCTTCAGTCCATGGAATTCTCCAGGCCAGAATACTGGAGTGGATAGCAGTTCCTTTCTCCAGAGGATCTTCCCAACCCAGGGATCAAACCCAGGTCTCCTGCATTGCAGGCAGATTCTTTACCAGCTGAGCCATCAAGGAAGCCCTAAGCCAACATCTGAATCCCAAAAGGGCTCAAAAATCTCAACTCACTGAAGGCAAGCAGGAATCATTTTTCAAAAAGGGCCAAGTCTTTTTCACTAAATTTGAAGGAATTCAAGAGATTCTTCTGCTTTCTTTGCCTTAGAGCTTTCTGGTTCTCTTCCAGCTGTTTATTGCCTCATCTCTCTCTGCCCTTTTGGATTGAAAGCACCCTGGTTATGACAGATACTTACTCCGAGAATGTTGGGAACAGTGGTTCTGTCTTCAAGTCAGCTTCTTCTGAGTTTTGAATCTGATTTAGTGTGAGGGAGGGCTTCCGTGGTGGCTTAGCGGTAAAGAATCTGCCTCCAATGCAGGAGCTACAGGTTCGAACCCTGGGTCTTGAAGATCCCCTGGAGAAGGGCATAGCAACCCACTCCAGTATTTTTGCCTGGAGAGTCCCATAGACAGAAGAGCCCGGCAAGCTCCAGTCTAGAGGGTTGCAGAGTGTCGAACATGACTGAAGTGACCTAGGACGAACTGTGAGGGAACATCAAAGCTGAAGATTCTCACTTGTTAAACATTTAATGAAAAAAATGCAACCCAGAACCTTGAGTGGAATTGTATGAGAAATGGAAGAGGGGACAAGATCAGGGTCAGAGATCAGGGCTCTAGGGGTCATAGCTCAGAGATCAGTGTCAGAAGCCAGGAATATTGACACCAGGCATATTCTGACAGTAATAGATTGTCATTGATAGACTCTTTCAAACACATCTTCTGCCAAGCTTTCTGGCAGGTAGAGTTATTGACATTACAAACTTTCACTTTTTATTTACAACAAATAAATTTGTACAATAAATAGACAATTGCTTGAGTTACAAAGTGACCAAGATAGTAATAGTGTCCCTTTCATTTTACCTCAGTCGAGTTAACTGCATTCATTATATAATCAACTCTTGATCACATCAAGCTCCGTGTTAGTACTGTATATACAAGACAGTCACTTTTCTCAAAGCAAGACACACAAGTACACAGTCCCTTGAGTACAAGAGGGTGACAATGGGATGCTATATGAGCATTCACTAGGGGAGACTGTATCTGAGATGGAACCTTAAGAACAAATGGGCTCTATCCAAGCTCAGATAGTTTGGAAAAAAATCACATTAGGCAGAGGTAACAGTAAGTTCAAAGACAAAACAAAAAAAAGGCCTTTCCTATTGTAAGAAGGCATCCACGTGCAGTGGATCCATTCATTTCTGTTTTCTGTTGCAGGTTGGGACTGAGTTTCAACAGCATCTCTGCTGTTGACAATGGCTCTTTGGCCAACACTCCTCATTTGAGGGAACTTCATTTGAACAACAACAAGCTTGTCAAAGTGCCTGGTGGGCTGGCCGATCATAAGTACATCCAGGTAATATAAAGCCACTAACTATTGTGAGGAATATCTAGGAAGCAAATCATCCCTACTGGGATGCCTGGAGGCAAGAAGTTCTGCTTAGAAATGTTTTTACAGAGAGATATTTTTAATGTTTCTACATGAATTTTCATTCTGGTCTGTGAGACATATAGGTTTAAATCAGTATTAATTATTTAAAAATTAGGACTACTACCTTGAACTTACTATAATACTTGCTTCCAGAATGTACTTTTTTTTTTTTTTTTAATGAAGCAGGGTAGTTTCAAGTCACAGATCAGTGTAACAAATACATAGTGGTTAGATATCATCTGTAATCTATAGATATGAAATAAAATAGTAGTTTTAACTTTGAGTTTCAACAGACATCTTGTAGGTCAAAAGACAATGTTTACCTAGCAGTGTGACTGAATTAACTTCATATAAATTATCAGTTATCATGTATTCTTAAAGATGAGAAGATACAGTTCAGTGGTTCACTATGCTAATAGAGCTTTATAATTCATAAATCTATAAATGTAAGTCATGCTTATTACTTTAAGTAGTCATAGTGATTTCATATATAATAATGAAAGATTTCCATTGTTACCTTGAGGAAATTAAACAAACATGTTATTTAAATTATGTATTTTAAAAAGATTATACATACTAAAAGCCCAATATATTGTGTCTTACTGTGGTCACAGAGAAAAAATGATGAAACATGACATTTTGAAATCTTTGTTGAATATCAGCAAATTTCATGGACATTTACACAGGGCCCCACATTCGGAAGGACCTTACTCTTAGTTTCCCATTTCTAATTGGCATCCGTGTACTCATATTACCTGCATTTCTAGAGGCTCTTAGGGGTTTCACCTACTCTACTTTTTTTTCTATATCCATATAGTCCAAATATTTTTAGTAAAATTATGCAATTATCCAACTATCACCACAATCTAGTTTTAGAATATTTTGATTACCTCCAAAATAGGCCTCTTATATATTTATTTTCTAGTTGTTCTCAACCTCGTCCCCAGGCAAAGGGAATCATTCATCTGTTTTCTGTCTCTATATATTTTTCTTTTCTAGACATTTCTAAATGTAATCATACAATGCATGGCTTTTGTGGTTGGCATCTTTCACTTATCAGAGTAATTTTAGGTCATCCATATCACAGCATGTGTCAGTAATTCATTCATTTTTATTGATGAATTGCACTTCATTGTATGAATATACCAGTTTGTTTTGCTAGTACTACACCTTTTGTTAACTGTAACTTCTGATTATGTTTAGAAATTAGAAATGAAGTTCCTCTAACCTTGTTCTTATTTTTAAAAATTTTACCTGTTCCTGTTTCTTTGCATTCCATTCAAGTTTTAGGGCCAGCTTGTTCATTTCTTCTCAAATAGATTGCTAGGGCTTTGATAGGAACTGTGTTGAATCTATAGATCATTCAGGGAAGAATTTTTCTTATAATAACTTTGAGTCTTCCAATACACAAACGGAATATCTTTCTATTTTGTCTTTATTTTCTCAAATATAGCAATATTTTGGCATTTTTAATATACAAATTTTACAATTTATTAGGTTCATTCCTAAATTTTGTGTTATTTTTGGTGCAACAGGTTTCCTTAATTTTATTTATTTATTTTTTTAATTTTATTTTTGAATTTTTTTGTTAGTTTATAGAAATTCAATTGATTTTTGTATATCTATCTTCTGTCCTAGTGCTAGTATCCTGTGCTAAAATTGTTTTTAGTTGTAGTACTTTTAATATGTTCCTTTGGATATTCTATATTCAGGATCTCATAATTTGTAAATAAAGAGAATTTTAATTATTCTTTCTTATATGAATTTTTAAAATTTCTTTTCTTACTTCATTGCATTGGCTAGAATCTATGATACAATGTTGGTAGAAGTGATGAAATCAGACATCTTTGAACACTGGGGTACATGTGACCTCCAATTTAAAAAAAAAGAAATTAGACATCTTTGTTTGATCCTTATTTTACAAGGGCAATCAACCTTTTGTCATTAGGCATGATGCTAGCTGTAAGTCTTTTATAGATACTTTTTATCAAGTTAAAAATGTTTCCTTTGATTTTTAGTTTACTGAAAATTTTTGTCATGAATGTGTGTTTTTTTTCCCAATGTTTTCTTTTTCTGTTGAGATGATCATGTGATTTTGTTTTTATTCCTTTAATATGTTGTATTAACTTGATTGATTTCCAGTTAAATAAATTTTACATCCTTGAGAAAAATCATGTTTGGTTTTGACCATAGTGAACTGTCCTTTTATATGTTGTGATATACAATTTCCTAATATTTTGTTAATTTTTTGTCTATATTCATATGTGATATTTTGACTATAGCTTTCTTTTTTGTAATGATTTTTGTCTGGCTGTAAGAAAATATTGACCTCATATAATGAGTTGGAAATTTAATTTCCTTTTTACACAGACTAACACTTGCTTTATGTCTTGATATTTCCTTCTCTTATTTTAACTATTAGCCATAAACTCTCACCAAGCACATCTCCTTTCTTCTTCTTCTTTTTTTTTTTTTAATTCTTTTGGTCATTTTTTTTTCCATTTATTTTTATTAGTTGGAGGCTAATTACTTTACATCATTGCAGTGGTTTTTGTCATACATTGAAATGAATTAGCCATGGATTTACATGTATTCCCCATCCCGGTCCCCCCTCCCACCTCCCTCTCCACCTGATCCCTTTAGGTCTTCCCTTTCTTCTTATTGTTAAGCAATGGAGACTGTCAAATGACAACAAGAAATTTTCAAAGTTTGAGAATCACATACACACATACACACACATATAAACTTTACAGATATTGTTTTACAGATATCCCTTGTTTCTGTTTTTGTAAGACATCTATTGTTCTCTTTCTAAACCTTTTCTTAATCAAGAGTCTTCACCAGCATATGAGTACAAATATTCTGGTAGGTGGAACAGTATTTCAAGTCAGTTATTTTAAGGAAGGACCTCATAGATTTTATAGTTTGCTTTAGAAATTATTGCTTTACCATTATATTTTTGCCTTGGTTTTATGATCAATCACTTCTATTCTTCAGAATTCACATATAAATAATGGGACTAAAAGCTCATTTCCAAACTTCTTTTTAAGTCTGATATTTAGTTTTGCTGAAAAAAAAAAAATCTATGAACAAATTGCCATTGTCTTAAACATAACCATAAAATATATTTTGGAAAAAATTTATAATGAACTATAATATTATATTCATTGAGTAGAACTTGTAACAGAATACATCTTTGTTAAAAATTTCTACATCTGCTTATTCCAAATACAGTGACATTCAAGTATTTCTTAGAGTTTGTGATTTTTAATTCTGATTCTAATTCTCTATACCCTCTTATACTTCACTATATTACTTCCTTATTTTAAGTAATTCTTTAAATAATCTATAATTTTATCTTTTTCCTGAAAACATAATATTCAATGTGGGCACAATTTATGAAATAACCATGACATCATTCATTTATTCATTCAACAAATATTTATTGAACATCTACTCTGTTCTAGCAGACACCAGAGATATAGTCACAAACAAAGCAGAACAGGTTTCCCACTTCATAGAGCTTTTATTTTAGAGAAGCAAACCAGACAAAAAGCAAATATAGTGATCATTGCTCTGAATAAAAATAAATATAATTGGAACAGCAAATAGCAGAAAGGGATACAAGAAAGATTTCTTTGGTAAGGATAAATGAATTACATGAGTCAGAAGCCTGGCAGACATCTTGGAGTTTATGGCAAAAGAAGGATATGGTGTGTGCCAACCTGAGGAGGGACAGTGCTCTAGCTGAAGAGAAGTGAGTAGGTCAGGGGGGTTAGACTGAACAGTGAAGAAAGATGAGCTCAGAGTAGAAGGATGGCCAGATCAAGTAGGATGTGTCAGCCACTGTGAGAACTTTAGATTTTACTCTGCATGAGGTGGCAAGCTGCTGGGGTACTGAGCCAAGATGATACAACTTGCTTACTTTTTAAAATAATAGCTGGAAGGAAGGAAAGCAGGAAGGTAGAAAAGAGAAAGAAAGAATGAACAGACTTCAAGAAGGCAAAAGAGGAAACAGGAAGAACAATCAGGGCAACTTCAATAATTTAGAAGGAGATAACAGTGGTTTGGGGTAAGGTTGTAGGAGTAGCTATGGGGAGAAGAACTGGATTACACGTGCATTTCTAAGGTTACACTAGCAGGATTTGTTGATGGTAGGGCAGAAAGTATAAGGCAGGGAGAGTCAAGGATGGTGAAAATGTTTTTAGCCTCAGTCATCTGGAAAGACTGAAATGCCATATACTGAGATGAGGAAGACTAAGGAGAGGAAAAACAAGATTAAAAAGAGAGAGAAATCAAACATTTGGTTTGATGAGTATTAAGGTATTTAAACTGAAGGATGAGCATGCTAAAAAGAATTAAGTAGTGTTCACCTGTACGGTCTCTGTATTTTTAGAGAAAAATAACCATGTGCTATTATTTCGGGTTGCAGGTTGTCTACCTTCACAACAACAATATCTCTGTAATCGGCTCTAATGACTTCTGCCCACCTGGATACAACACCAAAAAGGCTTCTTATTCAGGAGTGAGCCTTTTCAGCAACCCAGTCCAATACTGGGAGATCCAGCCATCCACCTTCCGATGTGTTTACGTGCGTGCTGCCGTTCAGCTTGGAAACTACAAGTAGCTCCCAAGAAATCCCTCATTTTTATAACCTGGCAAAATCCCATTAATGTCATTGCTCGGAAAAAAAAACAAAAAAAAAGAAAAACTAGATACTGGAAATCTATCTGCAATGTGGATGTTTTTCCCACATGACTTATTATGCATAAAGCCAAATATGCAGTTTAAATAATTGCCTACAATAAAAAATATTTTGCCTGGCATTTTCAGAATCCTTTTTTGAAGCTTATTATTGATGTTAACTGAGCTATTGCAGATATTCTTATTTCACTAAATGTAAAATTTGGAGTAAACAATTTTAGTAGAGCATTTAATTTCCAGAAAGAATCAAATAAAAATGGTATCAATCTTCTGTAACTCATAGGGGGGGTTAGCTCCGTTGACATAGTCTAGCAATGTATTCATCCCCATTATTATTGATAAAGCCTCATTTGAGTGTGTGAATTCAATCCAGGCTATGTAAAATTTTTGCTAATGTCATTGTTTTGAAAAAAATAAATTCACAAGTACATTTAAAATTACTATTGTATAAAGGTGTAATTTTAAATCTTCCCTAAACTTAATCTTCTGAAGAGAGTAGACATTGCTTTCTTGAAAAAAAACAGCACATATTTTCAAGTTCTCAGGTTTGTATTCTACCCCTGTCCTTTGATGTTTGTGTATTATAACTTACTTTATCTATATTAAGTATTAAGCTGATAAGGCACAAAACTGACTTTTTCTTATTGGTCTAAAAAAAGAGTATTTTCAGTTACTGGATACTAAATCAGCTTTAAAACTATGTGTATAATCAATCTGCTCACAAAAACATTTCTGTACTTACCAGCTATATTAGAAATATTTCCTACATTTAGTTAAACCTTTGGTTTTATAAATTCTTTTGTGTAGAATTTAAAAATAGCTATCAAAGCAGATCGTTCAACAAGCCTGGGAAATGGGCTGCTTTACCAAGAGTAAATATTTATCAAAAAGTACATGTATGCTATCAACATCTAACAAGCAAACATATGAGAACACTTTATTTCTTCTATAATCTTGTATGTTTTCTGATTGTAAATACTGCAACCCAAACTGGTTTAACTATGAAGGGGAATACAAAACAGTCTTGCTAGTAGATTAACCTTTCGCAGAGTTTCTCATCAATTCTTTCAGCTTTGCCTTCCTGCATTACGTTTTCAGGCTGGCCTCTCTTACGGCTGCAAAATATGAACTTCCTCCATCACTGCCCCCCAGACAAAAGCATGTTAACACAAAATTCCAGGAAAAGTCATGAGATTGTCTCTCACTATCACATACAAACTTCACAACCCTATAGAGTAAATACTATTGTTATCCCCATTTTGTAGAAAAGTCAACTAAAATTAGGAGAAATTTCATAACTTTCCCATAGTCAAATACTTGGGAAATACCTGGCAACAGAGATTTCTCTTTTAATCTTTGTACAAGTCAGGGTCTGGTAGAAAACAGAATTCACCCCAGAGAATTTAAAGGAAAGCAATTTGATGATGGGTCTGTTCTAGAGGGTGCTCAGAGTTAACCACATGAAACAAGGGATGGTGAGGCAGCTAAGAATGAACAATGGAAGAAAGGCATTCCCACCCACATGGCTGATGGACAGGAGAAGAACTGAATTTCCGGAGCTAAGTGAGAGGACATGTCCAGGGAGCCATGTTCCTGGTGGGATGCAGTACCCACCAGAGGTGAAGAACTGAAGAACTTTCCTTCCTACTTCAGGTCCTCCCACTGATCAAACCTAAAGGAAAGAGAACCCATCAAGAAAACCAGAGAGATTAAGCCTCCTCCTGGGCTGAGGGGTGAGGAGAGGGGAATGGATCTATTCAGAACACTCAGAGAATAACTAGCCCAAACACTGTAATTGTACCAGTAGGGTCACTGAACACGTTCAACCAGCCTCAGCTAAGCATGGGCTTCCCGGGTGGCCTTAGTGTTAAAAAATTCGCGGGCCAGTGCAAGAACATAAGAGATGAAGGTTTGATCTCTGGTTGGGAAGATCCCCTGGAGGTGGACACAGCAAACTACTCCAGTGTTCTTGCCTAGAGGATTGCATGGACAGAGGAGCCTGGTGGGCTACAGTTCTTGGGTTGTAAACAGTGGGTCACGACTGAAGCAACTTAGCACACGCTCATCTAAGCACTACATTTGTAGGTCATCCCAGGCAGTTTTTCTGACCCTGTTTATTTTAGACTTTTCTGCACTGAGCAGAGATGCTAATGCAGAGGTGCTAATAAACACAAAAATATTTGATAAAACTTTGTCAAATGATTAGCTAAATCTGATTTTCTGTTGTGAAACACTAGACAGCTTTTATAATGGCTTTGACTAAAGCAGAGTTTACTTATTGAAAAAAATGTGGTTAGTGTCAAAAATCGGAGTGTAAACAGAAAACGCACACTGTCAATGTTAATGGGCAGTCGATTATGTATTGTACATAAATATAGCAGAAAACCATAATAATATTTGCATACTCATGAGGGTCATAAGAATCAAAGCTTAAGCTCTAAGCTGTTTTGGTTAAAATAATATTCTCCTTATATACAAAGGAGGGTATACAAAGCTGGAATATACAAAGCTCTGTAGGAGCAGTTTAATTATGTAGCAGACTCCCATGAAGTGATCATGCTAGTGATATTTATTCATAATCTGTTATCAGTCCATAATTGGAAGAAGCTGTTTACTGCTTTAGCATACTCTATTCATTCTGTTGTTCATTCATTTATTCAATAAACCTAGCAGTGAATGTATTGCAGACATGTGATAACTCTTGGTAGACAGATAAGAACAACAACAATAACAGTAAGCAGAAATAGACTTTTATTTCAGGAATCTATTCAGTGCATACAATAAATTGCCAGCTTTTGTATTTGGCTCTTTTGGGACCATGTCTACTTATCACAAAAATTCCATAAGACTGTGTTATTCCATTTCACAGATAATGAAATTGAGATATTGGAAATGCAGAGTCAGAATCAGAGTCCTGGTCAGGTTAGAATCAGGTTTTGCTTTTGCAAAAATTTATATAGTTCATAGCATGTCAAGACCAAAGGTGATAGTCTTAAAAACTAAGAAGGGAATCTATTTCATGGTTCTCAGAAATTCCTCTGTGTTAATGGGTTAGAGTATTGAGGTGCAGGTTCCATAAAGATAATCACTGTAATTTATTGAATATTATTATTTAACTGCATATAAAGCATCCTATTTGGGGTTTCCTTGATGGCTCAGTCGGTAAAGAATCTGCCTGCAATGCAGAAGACCTAGGTTCAATCCCTGGGTCGAGAAGATCCTCTGGAAAAGGGAACAGCAACCACTCTAGTACTCTTGCCTGGGAAATCCCATGAGCAGAGGAGGCTGGCAGACCATAGCTCATAGGGTTGCAAAGAGTTGGACACAACTGAGTGACTAACATACACACACAAAGCATCTTATTTAATATTTACAACAGCTCTGTGGACTATCTATGGTTATTTAATATCCCTTTTACAGATGAGCAAATGGAGCCCTAGAGAAGCGAAGTAATTTTCCCACAGATACACAGTTTGTAAGTAAGAAAGCCAAATTTTCCATCACTTCAATGTCTTGTCTTCTGCTACTTTAAAATAGATTGTACCCAACAATGAGGAATCACTGAACATCTCCCATATAATTTAGGGATATAAAATAATGGACAATCTCACCAGTTCAAATTAGTGTCTTCACTTTTCAAAAAGGATACATCTGTTCATAAAACATTGAAAATATTCTTCCACAACACTGTTCAATTTTGAAAGTGTTCTATATCAATACTGTTCAGGCCTGTATCCACCAACCAAACTTGACTGTGGAGCATGAGAAATGTGAAAGGATTCAAGAACTTACTTTTAAATTTTATGTAATTTTAATGAATTTTAAGTTAATAGTCATATGTTGATATCATAATGGAGATCATATTGTTAATAATCACAATGATTCTAAATATGATTTTCATGGTACAGAGTGAATTTCTATTCATGGAAAAATATTTACCAGGTCCATGTCAGACACTGGAGATACAAGAAGTAATAAGACACCATCTTTGACTTTAAGGTGATTGGAGTTTAACAAAGGACACAATCATTTAACCAAACAATAGAAATTCAGAGGGATAAATTTTACCATAAGAATGTATGCAAGTTACAGCAGTGGCTCACAAGAGAGATGGTCCCCTCGTCTAAGAGCAGGATAAGAACAGAGGAGCCTCAAAAACTTCACAGCTAGGGACTGAAATAGGTTTTGATGACTGTATGAGTCTTCCACAGGGAGATCTGGGGGCTACTCAAGGCAGAGAGTGAGTTCAACCACTCAGAGGTATACCTAGCACATTGTCTGATCCTCTGGCATAAAGGAAGGCTTTCTGCTACTTCTTTACCTTCTTCTGAAGCAGAGGCAGTGGTTTATAGTTACTTATGGTATACACAGAGCTGAGGATAACATTAGGGAAAGCGGCTTTTTTTTTTCTCCCTTCCACAGTCTTGTCAGTCCACAAAGTATCAGTTCTCCAGAACGTTCAATAGGAAGGAGGAAATGTCTTTCTTCTTCTTCTTTTCTCTCATATTTCTCAAGAGGTCCTACTCTCATGACTATAGTGAAAAGGTAATTTCTATTGGAAGGCATTTGGTGTTCAAGGTCATCTCTAGACATTTTTTTTTTCAGAGCTGGAATGCTATACTGTCCTCTCAAGTACAGCCTCCTTCATGCTGTAACCTTCCTCCTGGAGAAGAAATGTTTGCAGCTACCCTGCTGCCTAACCTACAGCTGGGGGAGGGATAGAGAGAGAGAGAACCATGGGAAAGATCTTGGAATTTCCTCTGCAAGGCAGATACTACAACTTACCTTTTCCAGTGGTAAAGCTATTTTTAATATTTTCCCAATTCATGGGAAAGAGGCCTGACCCTTCAGAATCCCACTCTTACGTATCAGCACAACTTCTTTCTTGAATATCTTTTCTTTGAAATAAGGATAAATGTAGTT